CTGCAAAGAATTCAGAGTGAAAAGTGTTAAGAACTGGGAGGCCATCAACGCTTGCATGATGAAGATGAACCTAATATTGCACGGTCATAGAGTCACTGTTTTGGGAGTATATGGGGTCAATGATGATGCTACCATTGCACTTAAGGATCAGTTTTTTAAAGAACTGGACGAGGAGGTAGTGAAAGTAGAACGTAGGAGAGAAGTCCTTGTGTTGGGAGTTCTAAATGGAAGAACGGGATCCCGAATGAACAGTAAAATCGTCGGCCCATTTGGGGAAGTTACGGTGAATGACACTGGAAGCCGCATCATCGACGTTTGCAAGCAAAGGGAATTAAAAGTATGGAATGGGTTCTACCAACACAAAAATATTCACAAATATACTTGGGTCCAACCTACTCGTGGCTCTAGATCTATCATTGACCATGTGCTCGTTAAACAGGTCACAAACCTGAAGATCCAGCAGGTGAGAGTTTGGAGAGGACTCTTCTGCGGTAGTAACCACTGTTTCCTCAGAGCAGATGTAGCTTTACCCACTCCGGTGTCGCAGAACGATCAAGAAGACAATCAACAACTGGAGCGACAACAGGAGCATCAAGTTAAATATAACATTGATAGCCTCAAGCAACCGTGTGTCAAGGCTCCGTACGCTAAGCGCCTCGATGGAAAGTTAGGAGACACATGCGATACAGCAAGGAAGAGCGTTATGAGTTTGTCAAGAATAGTGAATTTTTAGGTGTCTGAAATTTGATGAATTTCAAGTTTAAGTGGAAACTACTGAGTGAACCGAGCACGAGGATACCCTTGGTTCATGAATTGAACAATTATTAGAGAAGATATGACAAAATGATCTAATCTGCTAATATATGTGTGTTTAAGTGGGAAATGCTGCCAGATGACGTCACTAGGTAGTGCATTTTCTCTCTTTTAAATCTATTTCTATTCTATTTCCCATATCATAATTTTTTTTTTTAAAAATACTGTGAAATTAGCTCTTCAAGCACTTTCAGATGAAGCTATAAAAAATGTGCATGCTAATTCTCCATTATGTTCACTCGACGGCAGCGGAGGCCCTGGGGGGGGGGGGGAAGGTTTCGCTATGAGAATAGAAAGAAAAGTAAAGAGGAAATTCAAGTCCCAAAATTTATTAAAAAATGTGGGACTTACATGAAATGTTTGAGTGTGTGTGTGTATATATATATATATACACGTGTGTGTGTGAGGGAGGGTGAGTATGTGAGGGTGAGGGTGAGTGTGTGTGTGTGTGTGTGTGTGTGTGTGTGTGCGCGCCATCCAGTCAACAAACTCTTCAAATTTAAGGACACAAGATTATTACCATTTGAAAGTTACATGTATCGTGCACTTAAATTTGAAGAGTTTGTTGCCTGGATGGCTCCCACACTATGCATTTGTACCAGGTAACAGTCATTTCTTCATTAATATAAACTTCGAAGGATTCAGACTTTCAGCGATTCCACCTTTTTCTATTTCACTCGTGAGGTTGCCAGATTGTGCGATAAATGTGAATATTTTACATTGATTCGAATTGAGAAAAGTGTTCAAAAAGCAACTTATCGGGCAACAATAGAGTCCGGGAGGGACGAGAGGATGCCTTCCTGGGAAAACCCATGATTTGGCTGGAAATGTCATTAAAACAATTGATTCTGTTTGAAGCATCAATTGTATACCAAGGGAAAGCTATTTTAAAATAATAATTGTAAATGGACACAGATGCTACAGAGAGGGAAAAAGGACAGGGAAAGGAAATGAAATTAGGATATGATTACTAATATGCAATCAGAGAGAATAAAACAAAAACATCAGAGAAATTCATATGCGATGAAACTATAAGAAAAAAACACGAGTGGGCTCATTGCGATTCGGAACTCGAACTATATACTATCGTTGAGCAGTTTTTAGACCCCTACGCTAGAGTCCCTTTATACCCAGAGTTACGACAACTCACTTTTGGTTGGGCCAGGATTGGGCTGAAAGTGGCCTAAAAAAAAATCCAATTCTGATTGGTTCTCGCTCATGGAGGCCGAAACTAGTGCACCAAGATGGCGGTACCTCGTATGTGAACAAGAATAATGAAAATATTACCTAATTGTGGTTTATCAAGAGTAAATTGTTATTGCCATCGGTCCAAAATGAAAATAGATGAAGAAATTATTCACAAACCAATCTCATTTTCTTTTTAATTGATCAATTTGTTGATGTTGTTGTTTCTGTATGACAGACATCGCAGGATTCCTGATCCTTATCCCCCAATATCGTTCGTTTGAGTGCACTAGTTTCGGCCTCCATGGCCAGCCAAGGTCGGCTGCCAGTCAGCTGATAATCGAGTTGTCGTTACTCTGGGTATAAAGGGACTCTACCCTACGCCACCGATAATCTTCTGAAGAGGTAAAGATGAACTTTTGCTACTTCAGCGAGTCAAATCGCGGAAGGAGATCCATGAACTGTCCACCCGATGAGATGACGTTCCAGTCAAATGCGTTTTTGAAGAAATGATCGATCCCCATCATCGCTTCATCTCCACACATCTATTCATGTGCAAATGATGGCATGCTCCGGCAACAAGGTTCTGTGACGAAATCATTTTTGCCTCCAGAGTCTCCAAAATGTATACATCTCANAATCGGGGGTCCAGGGGGTGCAGCCCCTTGGCTGGCCGTGACGGACGCGCAAAGCGCGTCCAGAACGGCTAGTAATTATATATATCTCGAAGGATTCAGACTTTCAGCCAGTTCCACTTTTTTCTACTTCACTCGAGAGGTTGCCAGATTGTGTGATAAATGTGAATATCTTACATAGATTTGAATTGGGAAAAGTGCTGAAAAAGCAACTTATCTGGCAACAGTGGAGTCCGAGAGGGACGAGAGGCTGCTTTCCTGGGAAAACCCATGGTACAGCCGGAAATGTCATCAAAACGATTTGGTTCTGTTTGAAGTATCGAATTTATACTAGGGGAAAGCTATATTAAAATAATAATTGTAAATGGACACAGATGCTACAAAAAAGAAAAAAAATGGAAGGGAAAGAAAATGAAATGAGGATATAATTACTTATGCAATCAGAGAGAAGATAACAATTATATCAGAGAGATTTATACATATGCAATGAAACTATAAAAAAAAAAAAAAAAAACACAAGTCGGCTCATAGCTATTCAAAACTTGAACTTTACTATCGTTGAGCAGTTTTTCGATCCCCACGCCACCGATAATCTTCTTAGAAGGAAAGATAAACTTTTGCTACTTCAGCAAGTCAAATCGCGGAGGGGCATCCACGGTCGTCACTTTCCTCCACCTGATGGGAGGGACTAATGTCCCAGTCAAATGCATTTTTGAAGAAATTATCGATCCCCATCATTGTCTCATCTCCAATATGTATTAATGTGCAAGTGATGGCTTGCTCCGGTAACAAGGTTCTGTGTCAAAATTATTTTTGTCTTGAGAGCCTCCAAAATGTATACATCACAGTTATCTAATTTCTAACTAATCAGGAAAATGGCTCTTTTTTTTCACTTTTTTTTTTCACACACCGGGTGCCCGGGGGGGGGGGGGGGGGGTCCTGTCACTTTGTTTTTTTTTCTATCAGTTTTGGATTTCCTATTTGGGTAGTTTATGTTGTTTTTCCTTGGTTTAACTTTAGTAATAAGTCATTTTCTCACTTAGTTCTTGTGGGAACTCCATTAGCTATTATTTCTTTTATGATCTTATGTAAATGTTTCTTATGATATATATACTTTTTCAGAGCTCTCTGATTCAAGTTGTTAAATTTCAACCAAGAGTCATCCAGGAAGTTAATGAGGTTTCAGACGGATTTTGTCGTGATTCGTTAGTGGTCGAAAAAAAAAAAACTAGTGAACTGTTGGATGCAGTATACTCTCAGCTTTAAGTTGAGCTCTCATTTTTTTAAATCGGATCTCAAGAACACTCAAAGAAACAATTTCCTTCGCCTCTGTCATCATTCTTAATGCTGGATCTGAGTACCATTAAACTGCTTCGATAAAGTTTGAAAACCTCTTGAATTAATTAATGTTCTTGAGAGTTAATCGCAAGAGAGACAGTATGGTTTACTTGTAACTTTCCAATTTAGTTTTTACCATAATCACCATTGAGATCCAAGCATTTTTAAGTCTTGGTACAAGCTTGAGAATCCTTCCGTCAAGGAACTCAGCAGGTTGGTTATTGAATCAATTCATCACCAAGTTTTGCACCTTATCATCAGTGTCCATGCTTTATCCACGGAGAACCTTTTCTAATTTTGGAACCTAGTCTATCCTTCATTAGTCACCACTCTTTTTCCAAAATTAAAGTAGGTTCTTGATGGAAAGCGAATGGACACTGTTGATGAGGCTCAAAATTTCATGATGAATTGATGAAGGAAACCAACCTGCCAAGTTCTTTGACGAAGAGATTCTCAAACTTGTGCTAAGATTTCAAATATACCTGAATCTCAACAGAGTTTACGAAGGAAAGTAAATTTACAGTTAATAGTAAACTGTATTATTTTCTCTTCTTTTCCTATTTTTCATGCGTATATACGAGCTTAAGAAATTGAAACTTCTTAAGCTCATGGAAATCTATATACTTTCTTAAAGCAGCTTTGAGGTAATAAATTATGTCAGTGTGGAAAAATTCCAGTTATCTAGTTTTGAAAAATGAGGGCTTACACTTAAGCTGAGCGTGTGCTACATCCAATGGTTTAATTGATTTTTTCTCAGAAACTAACCGTTTGCTAGAAAATCTACAGGAGACATCACTGTATGGATGACAGTGGTATCAGGAACTAATTTCATGGATAAGGCAGTTAATAGTGGCCAACACTATCAATGTCTCGAGGATTTTTTTTTTTTTTTTCCGTAAGCGGCACTGTTGCTAACTTGATGGAGCTTCGCATAGGATGTTGATGTTGTGTAGTTATTCCAAGCTATTGACTAGTATCACAAGTTCACTCAATTTTAATTTCTTGGAATTTTTTTGCTTTCAATCACAGTAAAACCCTAGGCAATGGCTCGCTTGTTCTCAGTAACGTTTTTTTCGGACAAGAAGGGTGTAGTCAAGCAAGAGAAGAATACCAATGTGTTGCATCTTCTGAAAAGTATGGAACCATCGTTAGCAGAACGGCATCAGTAATCGCTGCATGTAAGTTCCCCTGTTGTTGTTATTTTCTTTTAATCAGCTCACAGCCAGTCATTTTGTCAATTTTGCTGAAGAAATGATGTTAGAAAGTCGAAGGTATTTATCTCAAATTATGTAAACTGTATTTTGAATATAAGGAGTGACTCCTTTAAATAATGTAATTCCTATTTCACTTAGTCAGGTTCAGGGCAGTTTGATGGGTCATGATCTACTTTTTACAAGATGGAAGAATAATTGTCTGGTATCATTGAAATAATTTTGTTCTACCTGTCTCCTGTCTGTCAACTGTTGCTCTATCTAAGGAAGAATTACTCGTCTTTTATGAAAGCCTTGTCTGTGCCCCGCTAAAAACTCACTCCTAATGGTCAAAGCAAATGCATGTAATTCCTTGTAACTTTTATTGATATTCTTTATGCTTCTACAATTCTTGGAACGAAATATATTTATTTCGTTTCTTATTTATTTATTTATTTATTTATTCATATACATTGATTTATACAGATTGATTTCACGACTTTTATAAGCAACATTTGATTATTTAATCTTTCACATCTGCAGACGGAGGATTGGTTTGCTTAAATGATTTCTCGGTGTGAAATTGGCGGAAATATTCAAACTGTAGTTTCCTCTCTGAAATATGATTCTGAAACACCTCAAAAGATAAATACCTTTTCTGCTCCCAATGCCTCAATTAAATTATATGTTAATTCTCTTTTGTCTCATTCTCTATCTCATTATTCCTTTATATTGTGCAATGTGCATGCGTGTGTAAAAAAAAGTAAAACTTATATGCTTTACTCATAAGAAATGAGAAAAAAATGCATGTATACTAAAACTGTATAAAGATTTTGAGCTCATGAACAAATTTGATAAGAGCCAGAAAACCATTGTTTGACTTGACATTAATGCAAACTGCTTTGAAGAACAGTTCCACAAATATTGGTACATGAAATGTCAAGGTGAGATCAATGTCACAGGAAAAGTAAAAGAAAATCTTCGAGTTGTTCCTTGATTTCCTGATCATATTCTCGCCTCAACGGAACTGAGGAGGGGCAGTTGTCTTTTTAGGGCAGAAAAAAAGCACAGAATGCAGAAAAGACCATGAATATAACTGCCATCAAGGTTCGTGATGAGCCGCTGATCGTATCTGCATGATCGGTGGCTGTGCAGTCGTGTGGCGGCGCGGCACTCGCACTCAGTAATGCGCGTGGCGTGCCGACGCGCCCGCTCGAAGCAATTCCAACTTCGGCCGCTAGTTGCAGCTCGATCGCTCGATTCCCCATAGCAAAGCGGTGCAAACCAGCCTGGTGGGGAGTCGGCGATCGACTATAAATAGTGGCCGGGGCATAGGCCAAAACACAGTATCAGTCAAAATGTGAAAGAGAACCCATCTCCCAGTCATCGGCTAGACCCGTAAATATCACGGCTCAGGCCCGTAACCATCACGGCTCAGATCCGTATCTCCAACACGCCCCGGACGCGTTCACAACCACGGCTCAGACCCGTGTCACCTCATAGCTCACTCTTAGAGCTTAGAAATATATGTGTGTGTGTGTGTGTGTGTGTGTGTGTGTGTGTGTGTGTGTGTGTGAGGGTGTGTGTGTGTGTGTGTGTGTGTGTGAGTGGGTGGGTTTGTACAAAGATATTTGTGGAACCACTTCACAAGATTCTCCAGCAGTTGTGGAACCACAAATATTTGTGGAACCACACACCCGGGTTCCACAAATGAAAGGGCTCAAAATCGACCAAAACCAAGGTAGGAGGGCGTTTTGGACCTCAAGGAAGAAAAAAGAAAAGATCGACGCTGAGTTCCAGAAATATAGTTGTAAGATCGCAGCGAGTGTGTGTAAAATCGGGGTTCATATTGTGGAACCCGGCTGAGCGCTCCTGAGCGTACCCTGGCGGAGGAGTCGGAACTGGCAAGCAGCGTTGCCGCTGACGCGCCGCGACAAGTGCGAGCCGGGGCAAGTGGAGGCGCTTCGCCGTCTGCCGGCTCGATTTCGAGATTCCTTCGCGCTGTCTTTTGTCAATCTGGGGGCTGGGGGTTTTATTGCCTTTTTCCGCTCTCGGAATTTCCAAAACACCAACACGTGTTCGTCAATGTGCCGTTGTCTCGCCCCCGCTCCGGTTCGAGTTCAGATGTTGTTGTGTCAAGTTACGGAGATGTGCGGTACGGCTCCCTTCGGTTGTTTGTTAGTTTAGTATAGGTAATAATATTGTGTTTTCAATTATAAAAGGATTATAAAAGGATGAGTGGGAGTGACAGAACGAAGCGGATTTTATGCCTGTCTAGGCTAATCAATGATGGTAAGTTTGAGCTTTGTATTTTCAAATTTTTTTCTTATGTAAGTGTTTATTTGATGTTTCTCATTATAAAAGTAGGTAGTGGAAGTGTTCACTTTTCCGCGGATATCTTTCTCATTAAAGTATATAATTACCTATCTTAGTGCTGTTCAGGTTAAACCCTAAATCCCAAGTAGCACTGAGCAACAGTGGCGAGGCGTGAATGATCGATTTTCGATATTTCCCCATTTGAGCTGTGGTAAAGAATCGATTATTAGGGTGTTCGCTGCGAACCGCCTAATAATCGATCCTTTTCCATAGGTTTAAATGGCCGATCAATCGATATATCGCAAAGCACGCCACGCCACTGCTGAGCAATGAAAATATTGAAATAATATTGAGATTTTCTTGCAATGAAATTAACATTTTTGTACCATGAAAGAGCCTCCCAAAATTTCGCCCCCTTTTCGGCATTCGATTCGACCATCGACCAATGTTTAAATGGAAGCTTATAATAACAGAAAACTCAGATAAAAATTTAAATATGAGTATAGGAACCGTTTTCGAGTTACGGGGGGGGCAAAGGGGTCAAAATCCGGCCTTATTTTTCGCTATTTTCTCGTTGAATTGATGTGTCTACGGGGTTGTTATCGTTGTTTAAACATGTTAAACACGCCGGTTTCTACGTATTTGTACACGCAAAATCGATTTTTAACGTTGACGAGCCGATATATCAATTGGTTATATCGATTTTTAGCGATTCTTTACGGAAAATCGATGGTTTTTTTAGATTGAAATTGTTTATTTTTGATTCATGGATGACTAAATGCACCTAATATGACTGTAGCACACCGACTCCTCCGTATTTTTTCTCGTAGAATTGATTTTTATCGTTGATGAGTCGATATTTCGATCGCGTATATCGAATTTTTGCGATTTTTAAGGAAAATCGATGATATTTTGCTATTGAAACTGGTCAGTCTCCATCCGAGATCAAACAAATGAACCCGATATCATCGGAGCACACCGATTCTTACGTGTTGTACACGTAAAATCGATTTTTAACGTTGACAATACAATTTATCGATTGGTTCAATCGATTTTTAACGATTTTCCAAGGAAAATCGATGATTTTTCGGGATTGAAATTGAAGAAATCTACCAGACATGACTGGAGCACATCGAGCCCTTCGCTATTATTCTCGTAAAATCAATTGTCGAGGTCAACGAGTCGATATATCGATCGGTCATATTGATTTCTTGCAATTTTTGTGGCAAACCGATGATTTTAATCGGGCATGAAATCGCTTCCTCTCGGTCCTAGGTCTGAAAAATGTATCCGAGATCAAAGAAATGAACCGGACATTATCGGAGCACGCAGGTTCCTACGTATTTTTCACGTAGAATCGATATTTGACTTTGACGAGTCAATATATCGATATGTCATACCAATTTTTGTGGAGGTATGTCCAATGGCCGCTACGCGGACCAAACCACAGAGGGCGGCACATCGATAGGGTGGTCCAAGCTAACATTGGAAATTATTTTTTTCGCCCAATAAACCGAGGTGCCCCCTTTTGTTCCTTACCATCCAAATATGATACCTGCCAAATATATTCGCTCTCCGACAACATTAACACGTGCCGCCGTGAGGTTGAAAATCTCAAAAAAAAAAATTACATTGATTTAAATGGGGCGAAAACAGGCGGTAATTCGTTTTTCGGTTTTAAAATGTACCGAAATGAAAAAAAAAACTTGACTTTTACTGAAGGAGATACCTTGAGGCCTATTGTGAATGAGAAAATCACATATTTGTCCCATGGGGAGGGGGGGAGAGGGTCACGATGGAGCCGATTTATTGGTGCCGGAGCGCCGCGCAAGGCATCATGCGCTAAGGTGATCCACTTTGGGCAACTTCGGAAAATCGCCCGCGATGCTCCATTTGTTTAATCCGATCCAAAAACGATGTATGCCACGTATTTGTACTTTCTGATAATGTTAAGACCTGCCACCGTGTGACTGTTTTTTGGGAAAATTGAAGGAAATAGTAAAAAAGACGAATATTTTAAAACTTCGCAATGTTGGCAAAAAAGCAACGTTGTGCCTCACTTGTGTTCAACTGGGCTTCTAAAATATGGATTTCAAGTTTCAGCGCTTGTAAAATGTGTTCAGACACATAGCATTCAGACGGATTTAATTTTCTTGAGAGAAATCAACAAATGTTCGAAAATAGCGAAATCTGCAATAAAGGTGAAATAGCTGAAACATGTTCTAGACCGCTGATAAGTAACAGGGTATTTAATGAAAATATCAAATGATAATATTCTAAGCCACAAGGTGAGCACTATCGCGTGGAGTCAATTGAACTTCTCGTACATTACCTATAGAATAAAACGCGTAGAACTTGTTTTTTCAGAAGAAGTCTACCTCCTTCAATTACGGGGGAGTAACTGCCGAGCAGATAAACGTTTCGATCCATCCAAAAAGATGGCTTTGAAAGTGTCATAGTTTCACAGACATATCACCAGAAAAAGAAATCATTGACGATCGATAAGCGGACAGACTGCCTGCCAAGTTCACCCGTATCCCAGAAAACATGGGATTTTCTGCAAAGCTCGGCAGTTTTACCAGTGAACCATTGTTGCAATCTGCTTATCAGCGGAACAGTTAATTTACTTTTCAAACTCTTGAAACAACGTTATTCTATTTGAGGAGGCACGGTAATGCGTAACAGGGAGCAGGGAGCTTGAATATGCGGGTGCGTGCCTGCGTGGTGCTTACGTCTCTCATCAGTTTGGAGCTTGGAGCTTTCTGCATTTCCGGACATTTTTTGATTTCTCTCAATAAAATTAAATCTGCCTGAATGATATGTGTCTGAACCTTTTTACAAGTACTGAAACTTGAAATTCGTATTTTAGAAGCCTGGTTGAACACAAGTGAGGCACAACGCTGCTTTTTTACCGACGTTGCGAAGTTTTATAATATTCGTCTATTTCACTATTTTTGCTGTTTCTTTCAATAAAGAATTTGCACGCAAGTTTTTTATTGCTTCATCTGAAAGTGCCTAATGAGCTGAGTTCACAATATTTTTCAAAATTTTTTTTCGGACATGGGAAATGGGAGGAAATTGATTTAAAAGTGAGAAAATGTGCCGCCTTGTGACGTCATCTGGCGGCATTTCCCATTTAAACACATGTATTTTAGCAGAATCGGTTATTTTGTCATATCTTCTGTAATAATTGCTCAATTTATGAATCAAGGGTAGTTCACTCAGTAGATTCCACTTAAACAGGAAATTCGTCATATTTCAGACCCTTGCAAATTCTCCATTTTCCGAAAAAACAGTCACACGGTGGCAGGTCTTAACGTTATCAGAAACTACAAATACGTGGCATATATCGTTTTTGGATCGGATGAAGCAAATATAGGGAGCATCGCGGTCCATTTTCCGAAGTTGCCCAGAGTGGATCACCTTAGCGCATGATGCCTTGCGCGGCGCTCCGGCACGTTTAAGGGTCATTTTAGCCTACCGTAAGGGTGGTAGGTAATCATCGGAGACCAATTTCGTTGAAGTAGCCTTCATCTACGCAAAAAGTTGTGCCACCTGCAAGAACATTATGGTTCCTGAAGTCTAATAATTTGCCGGTGACAAAGCGTCGAACTTCAGAAAAATGCGATTTCGGGAGTTTAAATAGCGTTTTGGGGCCACTTTAGCCAATCGTAAGGGGGGAAGGTACTTACCTGAGAGCAAATATGTTTAAATGTCCTTAGTCTACACACAAAGTTATGTTAGAAACACCATAAATAATAATGGGTGTTGAGCATCCTCCTTCAAAAACGCTACTCAAATCGGCGGAAAGCGTAAAAATGCGCCTTTTCAGTTTTACGCGCTGCTATTTCCCCCTGTTTTCGGCACCATTTAAATTTTACGTAAAGGCCTAAAATTTTTTTACAGTGTTTTCACATCAAATGGAACCAATATACGGGGTGCTGCCCATTAAACGTCAAAAACTGAATAAAAAATAATAAGGGCCACCATAAGGGGACAGCCCTTTACCTGCTTAAAATAGTCATTTTATCAATGAAATTCTGATTAGGCTTCTTAATTTTTCAGGTATTGTCACGAATGAAAACGAAACCAACCGGGAAGTACAATCTGATAAGACTATTCCTGATCTCACAAAAAGCCACGATGATATTAATTCAGAAGCAGAAACATCTGCTTGTCCAAGCGGAACTTACAAGGGTGATTTTGACACAGAAAGTTTAGCAAGTTCTTCTACAGCTAATCGTTTTTCAGCTCTGAATTTTTTTATAGAGGAAGATGCCATTAGTGAAGCCTCCTCAAAACCGATCGCTTATGTCAGTCCTATGAAGAGACCAATAGGCTCACAAGAGGAAAAAAGCTCTGAGGATGAAAACGATGATTCTGTCGCATACAATCATGCGGATGCTAATGACCAACCTCAACCTAGCACATTGAATCATGAAGATGAAAACGAGCAACCTGGTGCATCAAACCTTGAGGATGAAAACAACCAACCTGCCTCATCAAATCATGAGGATGAAAATGACCACAGTGTTGCATCAAATAATGAGGATCAGTCTGCAACATCAGATGCTGACTATCAACCATCTGACAGTGCCTCTGATGACGATTCCTGTGATGAAATCCATTCTCCAGTCCCCAATGAAACTAAAAGAAAGAAAGAAAACTCTCAACGAAAGGAGAAATATTCAAAAAACTCAGGAAACGTAGATGCTTCAAGTATAAATGACCCACCAGCAGTTGAAACTATCGTTCCTTCCACATCAGTTGCGTCGAAAAAGAAGAAAATAACGAAGAAGCGCACCAAAAAAGTATCATCAGATATCATATTGCCAACGATTTCGAAGGAGCAAACTAAGAATAAAAGAGTTTTCGATAAGAGACATTGTTGTCTATTTTGTCAAACTTTTCATTATCACATTGTCCGGCATTATGAGCGGTGTCATAAGTCAGAGCCTGAAGTAAGGGATTTACTTCTCTTACCAAGGCGAAGTCGGAGAGGTGAAAGTAGAAATGATCGAGACCATAAATTTACGTTGCTTCTCCGCGAAGGTGACTTTTATCATAATTGTTCTGTATTGAGCACGAAACAAGGAAACTTATTGCTGGTAAGGCGTCCCACTGAGATGGATTCCAGGCTGTATACTTATGCGGATTACACGCCATGTCCGTATTGTCTAGGATTCATATTGAAGAAAAACCTGAGCCAACATACTTTGAACTGTGTAGGGGTGTCAGCAGAAATGCAAAAAAGGAAAGCGGAAGGGCATATAGAAGATATTATCTCCAAAAGTGAGGCTCTTTTGGGAAATTGCTCTGCCATATCAATAGATCAAGAGTTTTACCAAAATATTATGACCCGTATGAAAGACGACGAAATAACTGGCATCGTAAAAAATGATACTTTGATTTTACAACTAGGTGCATTCCTATACGCTAAGTTCAACGTAACGCAAAAAGAATATATTAGACAATCAATGCGTATGCTTGCCAGATTTTTACTTGAAATTCAAAGCATCGACGAAAAAATTACTTCCTTGCCTATGTGTTTCGACCCTGGAAATTTTGATCATATTCTGCAAGCTGTGCAACATTTATGTATTGCTGAAAAGCGGAACTTAGAGCGAGTTAATTTTCAAAAGGCTGCACTATTATTGAAGCTGGGGCCATTATTAAAAAAAACGAGCACCCTTCACAGAGGTATGTGTCTCAGGCAACTGAACAGCGAGGACCCGAAGGTAAGAGAAGAAGCAAAGCAAGGTAACAATAATGCGAAAAATTTCATCGAGTTAATGGAACTGGAGTGGAAAACTCGACTTTCATCGACTGCCTTGTCTAATCTAAAAGAGCGGAAGTACAATTGCGGTGAGTTGCTCCCACTTACTGAAGATCTTATGAAGTTACGAGCTTTTGTTGATGCTGAATTGAATCGTGTACTTAAGGAACTGAAGGAGAGTATCACTATCCCACAAAGCAGGTATTTCAGCGAACTTCTACTGGTCAGTGTTATTTTGTTTAATAAAAAGCGAACAGGTGAGGCAGCAAAAATGAAACCAGCGCACTATGAGAAGCGGCCCAACTGGCATGAAAATTCAGCCGATGAGTTGAAAGCAGCCATGTCACCCTTGGAAAGAAAGCTTGGCGAAAATATGGCTGTTTTGGACATACGAGGAAAACATGATAGGTCTGTCCCTGTTGTATTGACGAAAGAAATGCAGGAAGGAATTGAATTCCTTTTAAAACATCGGACTCAGATCGGAATCAACAAAAACAATCCTTATATTTTTGCTATTGCAGGATTTGATGAAGCCCATTTACGTGGTCATGATTGCGTACGTAAAATCTGCGGTAAATTACCCCTGGTAAAACCTAGATTGATCCAAGGCACAAAATTAAGGAAATATATTGCCACCGTTACACAAATCCTCAACCTATCAACAAATGAGACAGACTGGCTCGCTCGCCATTTGGGTCATGATATTGCGGTGCATCGTGACTTCTACAGACTTCATGACTCAGCAATCGAAGCCACCAAAGTAAGCCGAATCTTATTGGCAGTTGATTCTGGTCAGGTGAACAAGTTTGCAGGGAAGAAACTAAATGAAATAAATTTAAATGGTAAGAATTTTTAATTTTCCATTTTACATTGCTTGATATGCCTGTGAGTAACTCTTTAATCGCAGACTATGACTTGTCAGTTTTCTATTATGAAAATGATGGAAAATGCAGCAAGATATTTTTTTACATTAAGATGTTGCACAGTTGCTCAGGACTCCCCCCCCCCTTCTTTTTTTAAAAAGGAAATAAAAAATTAAAATAGAATGAGGGATTGGTGCGTTTACAGGGATTACCTACCTATATTACGAAGCCGCTTATATCCGGGCAAGGTTGTCAAGTAATTTCGTTGCTTGAATTTTTAAATGCCTTTTTTTAGCCCCCTGGCTTAAATAAATCGGAAAATTTTGATGCTATAAAATCTTTAAAGAAACTGGAATTTTGAAAAGTAGAGGACCCTCATCACTGTGACTGAGGGAAGCACTGGAAAAAGGGGGAAAACTTTATTAACATAACTTGCCGGTCCTGCTCACTTTAAATGAATTTAATTTTCAGACGGAAACACTGATCACTTGTGTTTCCGTCCAGTTATATCTTCTCTCTCACAACTTCTATATGTGTTCATCGAATTATTTTTACGGATGAATAAATTATGATGCCAAGTATCATGATTTCAGATTTGCCAGACTTGGACAGCGAACAACCTGCAGTGTCCGTAGATGTCTTCTTAAATGATGATAATGAGGTATGCGAGAATGAACCCGTTGCCAATGAACCAGGTGAGAAAAATTTCGAAACAATGTCATACATAGGTACTGTACTTTGTTTCATTCTTATGTCCATTCACTTCTTGATGATTGAATAGGCCAATTCAGTTCTCTGAAAATGAAACTGACCCTCTTCGATACTTATTCCAGGAAAATAAGCCGAAAAAGGGTTCATAGTTTGCAAAAATCCCGGGTAGTAATTTTTCATTGATTCCTATGTAATTTTTGACGCTAAATCCGAATTTGCCAAAAATTTATCTGACGACAAAAGTAGTTATTTTCAAAAATAAAGCTCGTTAAAGTTCCTATAAAAGTGTTTCTATTCACCTATTTACTCAAGGCAAAATTAAGCGCAATGGCGGGCGCCGAACTTTGAAAAATGAGCGAAAATTGCGCTTTTTCCCCTATGTCTCCTTTTCTACACGTCCGACGAGTAATTTCTGGACGAATTAAGTGAAGATGATAAAATTTACACTAAGTTACATGAAGTGATGTAAAAAATAAGGATCCCAACACATTCCAGTGTTGCCAAAATTACCTAAAATTGTTTTTTGGCTGTTTAGGACCATTAGTATTGCCTCGTTAGAATGGCGCAAGCTCGCTTTGGAAAGCCAGATTCAGCGCTCATGCATGCACCGATACTGTTAGCGCTGCTTGTTTGCATCTTTTATCTGTGTACCTGGCGGCGCGTTTCAGCCGTCTGTTGTGTTATCACTCCTGCAGATTGCGCTGGATTCTTAACTGTGTGGCAACTTTGGAATGTGTTGGGTTTTTTATTTTTTACATCAATTCATGTAACTTAGTGTAAATTTTATCATCTTCAATTAATTCGTCCAGAAATTACTCGTCACCCGGGTAAAAAAGGAGACATACGGCAATAACCGCAATTTTCGCTCATTTTTTAAAGTTCGGCGCCCTCCATCATGCTTAATTTTGCCTTGAGCAAAAAAGTGTATTGGAACACTTTTATAGGAAATTTAACGAGCTTTATTTTTGAAACTAATTTGTCGTCAGATCATTTTTTGGCAAGTTACAGGCCATAATCAGAACTAGAGGCCGATTTAAGGCCATTTTTGCCAAATTTGGCAACTTACGGTCTGAATTTTTGGTGCAAAGATAAAATTCGGATTCAGCGTCAAAAAGTACATAGGAATCAATGAAAACATTCCAACCCGGGATTTTTGCAGGCTCTTTTCCTTATTTGCCTGGACTAATTGTTTGATCTCAGGAAACATTAACACAAGATAAAATATCCTATATGGGTCATATTTTAAACTTCATCACTCTTTTTATTCATTTTTGAACTTGAGACGCTCAGCAAAGAATTTTTCCTGCGCCGCCATTATTACATTCATTATTATATTTGGATAAGCAGAAAATTACAGTAACTATTAACAGGCTGCCATCTATGTGTCCGTAATCCATGTTGTTTTCTGATTTAAGAGACTCGCAATACACTCCTGGCAAATACTCAACAAAATGAAGAATTGGGAAACGTTAATGAGAATGGACCACATGAAAATGGACCATATGAAAATGTTCCGCCTCCAGATTGCGGTACGAATATTTAAATTTCCAGTCAAAATGCTTGAAATTTTTCCGAATGGTATCAAATTTTAAAATAGCAAACTACCAAAGCTCTTTCTGGCAGTTTATTATGAATAAGTAATTTTTCTTTGTTATAAAAGAGGGCGGCTATTAACAGTTGGCATGACTTCACTGTCATATCACAGAGTGTCTAAAGCCCTTAGACCTTTCGTCCGCTACCTATTGAAGTTTTGAGGGAGGACATGCTGTATCAGTCTTGCAAATAACAAATTGCAGACAGTAGGTATGGTTTATTTTATTATTTTTTTTTTTCAATCAAAACAGAGCATGAAGTTTTGATTCAACCCAACACTTTTAAGCCCTGAACACAGCAGATTAAAAATTTGCAGCTTAAGCAGCTTTTTGTCGAAACTACAATTTTGTAAATGCAAATCTCAAAGGTCATAGCTCGAGTTCCAATCAACACTTTTTGTGCTGCAATGCTCTTGAGTGCAAGGGTACTATTCTATTTTGCGTTTTACAGAAATAAGGTCCATATTCCCATAAACGATCACAGATGTGTTATTGTTGGAAAAAAGATTCCCTTTTTAAACATTGCTCTTACTCTTTCCAGAAACCGTGAAGCGTGTGTCCAAGAGAAAAAAAGATATTTCAAAAGAGTTACCGCATTCAGAGAAGGAGAATCCGAAAAAACCCAAACGGAAGCCTCCGCTTCGGACTAGAAACCAGAAAATAGAAGATGACTCCGACAGTTATGAGCCAAGTTCTGATGGGGATTCTGAGAAGGAGTACGAAGAAATTGCGAAGAAAAGAAGTAAGTCATACTCCACAGTAAAACATCTTTCAGGCAGTGAATTTGTAAATGTTTCTCATTTGGGTCCCAAAAGAATCTTTCATAGTTTTCAACAGGCCCCTTCCTATCCCTTTTTTAGAGGCAAATTTTCAAATTTTCTTCGGTCCTCTACATCTCGATGGGGAAAAAGCAAAACCACATATCTCTATTACGGCGTTTCTTTCTGCTCCAATTTTATTTTTTCTGAAGAGAAACAAGGCAACGAGAGCTTGAGATGTATGCAGAATATTCTGCCAAAAGATAAGGAAAATCAAGGAAGTTTTCAAGAAATTAAGTTGCCACAGAAAAATAATATGACGGAAAGTCTGCAACGTCGTAAACGGAGATACGTGGTTTCGCACTGTGGCCACCAATGTACTGTTTCAGTGCATGCGATCGTGACTGACTATAATGATATTTTTCTTTCCTTACTTCAGTCTTTTATCCATGTAAAAGTCTACATTTACAAAAACTGTCTCAAATGGAAGAGGCAATGAGTTATGAAAAACCTCTGAACTTTTATGAGGATTTAGAGCTTTTCGTTTTGATTAGAATAGCATTCTCAGAGTTGCCTTGCCCATACTACAGTTGAAAGTTCTGTAACCGTACAGCTTGAATAAATTTTTTGCAAAATGCGTCGTTATAGCAAGTATGCGTGAGAATGCGTCGTAACTTTAATTAAGCTCCTAAAAATCTTCAAGTAGTCCCTTAAAATTGAGCTTAATAGACCAGATTGCTCCTAAAATTTAAAATTGAGTTCAGATTACCGATTTGAACCTTCTCTGTGCTTATCATTCACGAGAAATGTAGAAACTGTATAAAATAGAAATCACAGGCACGAGGAAGCAAGGATACAAAATGAGAGAAAAAGTTAAGATTATCATTCGTAACAATCTCTTAATTCTGTTTCAGGGCCGAATGTGCAGAAAAAATTAGTCACAAAGGGCAAGCAAGTTCATACGCCTTGGTCCACTGATGAACAGATGGCTATCACAACGTTCTTTAAAAATCAAATTCGAAATTTCAAAACCATTGGACTTAAAGACGCAGAGGAATGCATTAATGCTAATCAAGCTGCTCTGTCAAGACGGACCGTCCTAAATGTTAAACATTGGTATTTTAACTACCTGAAAAAACTAAAAAAAATGATGGGCAAAGATAAGTAAAAGAGTAAAGATCTTATTTGCATTATAGTTATCTAAGTTCATGAAGAGCACTTTACATGTAATAGCTTTTAATACCCATTATCACTGATTAAAACAATAATTGTAGATTTATTATTGACCGATTATAAAACTTAAAGTGTGAGACTGAATTATGAGGATTATAAGACTGAAATATATTTACGGAGACCGATTATTTTATTTTTTTTTCATCATAAGTTGACCTTGTACTATCAGTTTTATTTTGAACTTGTTTTTAAATATAGTACCTTATTTTATTCAGCAAAAATTCAGTTTTGATTTCATTTTTTTGCTCAAGCGTTTGTAGCATGTATCATTCGAACACATCCATTATATTATTTCATTGATGTTTTAGTTATTGAATACCCCGGTACGGTCTTAGAGTTTTGAACCAGGTTCTTCAGCTGTCTTTCAGACTAAGATTCTATGTGTATGTAATCGTTTAAGACGCCATCACCTGCCAGGAATGCCAGCTTGGATCAATCTCATCTAGGTACTTGGCTCAAACCAAGATGAAGGAAAGGAAGGCATGCTCTTCCAATGCTCGCTTGGTTGCATTGGTCTCTGTTCAGTCTTGGCGGGAAATTTGCTCAGAGGGAGAAAAGGACCAATGAGAATAGAAAAATACAGAATCGGAACCCTGAACCGGAACTTCATTCTAAAACTGAAACGAAATCAATGCGACTAAGCGTTGGTTCTGTAAATTTTAGTAACTTGAATAGAGGAAGAGATTACCTCCGTTTCACTTACCTGAGCTTAAACCCCTTTCATTTTGAAAAGGTCCCCCACCTACCTTGCAAATTAAATTTCCTCCTAATTTTTTAGTAAAGATTCTGAATTTTCTAGCTTATCAAACTCTGAATTTTTCGATATATTTTATCAGGTTTTTCTTGTTCCTCCATAATTTTTTTCTAAATCATCTGAAATTTTTAAATGCTTGCTTTGGTTTAGGAAAAAGTTACTAAAAAATTGCAAGCTACCTACTGGACGCGAAATGTTGATTTTTTCAAAGCGTACTTTTCCTCTTTCTGAAATAATCTTAGGAAATGAGGAGAATTGAAAGACTTTTCCTGAGGGTCATTTTTAAAGACATCCCCGAAACTTAAAGGTTTCCCTGTTCAATGTATATCTGAGGCTTAAGAAGACCTTAAAGGCAAAGTAACATGCCTATGAATGCGATCCTGAAAATTTAGATGGAATAAACTCTTTATAAATACCAAGAAATTTATTTCAAGGCATCCCTGGTCATTAAAAGACGAAAACTTAAGAATGGATGGAACTTCCCTAGGGAAGGAATCTTGCAGAAGTTTGCCCCCCTCCCCCTCCTCTGTATATTAGTTTTTCTCAAAAGAGGATCCTATCAAGAATTTTCGAACCTTAAATGCAACCACTCGATAATAAGCCACTCAGGGATATTTTGCCTTCCCTGTGAATTTAAACTTTGGGCCTCGCCCCTTCATCCCTGAAATCTGAAACTTAAAAAAAAAAAAAATCATTATACGGTATGTATTCCATTTTAGTTGCTTTCTGTATTATTGAATCCTTCTTTTGACAAATAAAAACATTTTAACCTTATCTGGGACAATCGTGGGAAACATCAATATTTATGGAACCACACACACGGGTGCCTCTTTTTAAAAAAGCTTGGCAACACAGAAGCTGTGTGTTGCGTGTGTGTCGTCATTTTGTGGAACCCGCCCGTTGTGGAACCCGGGTTCCATAAAATGAGAAGTGTGTTTTCATATATCTCACTTGTTAAAGAGTGTTTTGGAACTCTAATCTAGTGTGCCTTTATTTTGCAAGTAAAGCAACACATTTTACGCAAAATCTCGGGTGGATTCCACTAATCAGTTTCTGGAGTGTGGTTCCACAAATATGCCTGTACAAGTATGTGTGTGTGTGTGTGTGTGTGTGTAGACCACAAATGAAATAGTGAATAAATATGTGTCAATTAAGCCCTTGCAATTCTTCATTATCAAAAACCCAAAAACCTCACCCAATATGTCACAATGTTGTCCCACAAAATAATTGATCTTGCACTCAGTTAGGATTTGTCGAGTTCATATCCGGTATGTTGTCAGTGGAAGGTATGAGGGGTGCATAGACCAGATTTATGCAAAAAGGACACATCCAAAAAAAGTATCCTTTTTTCATGCATTGCCTCAATTGCAGATACGCATTTATAACTCTCTCTCTTTTATAACTTGTATCATATAACACATCTTCTTTTATTTATATTATTTTATTTTATTAACAGGTTTTCATCCTTTGAAAGAAGGGCGTAGAAACCTTCAAGTTTATGCGGGAGAAACAGCCTTTCTAAGTTGTTTCATTGATGCTCGTCCTAAAGCACAAATTTTGTGGCTCAAAAACCAATATCCTTTGGATCTTGACCCTCTCCGAATGACTATTTTGCCATCAGGTAAGGTTCAGTAATCATGTAGAATAAATGTAGTTTATGCCGAATAGTACGGTGGCTTAGCGCCAAAAAAGAGCCAAATGCTGCAAATTGTGATTCAGTTTTGCCACTTTGGGAGGTATAGCTAGATGATATTTTAAGCGTTTTGAGTCAAAGAGGCATTTCCAAAATCGTGGCAGATCCAAGATGGCGGCCATTCAAAATGGCATCCGGACGCATACTTTGAGCCGCTATAGATCGAGATCCACTGAACCGATTTAATTTTTCTTTTTTTTGTTTGATAGATAATGGGCCTGTTGCAAACTTTTGCTAGAGCAAAACTAAGAGTTGTTTCTTACAGATAATGCCTCAAAAATCACGATGAGCGCATCGGCAAAGTCTGAAATGCACTCATAATTTCACAATCTGCGTAAGAAATTTGCGGTTTTTTGAGCTTCCCGCTTCAAAAACGATACTACGGTACAGGTGAACATTTTGTTGCAGGAGTCGTTCCATTGGTGGCAATACTCATCATGGCCGACGCCAGTCCGCCAAAACACGTGTGATGGGACGAGATAACACCTGAACAGGATTAAACCAGATAACAATCGGCGTGTTTACGTTCATATTTTCCTCGCCCGCCTTAATTGACCTTGAACTCTCCTCGAATTACGCGAGGAACTGCGCAAGCGTCGGCCATGATGAATATTGCCGACGATGGAGCGACTCCTCTAACAAAATGTTCACCTGTGCAGTAGTATCATTTTTGGAGCAGGAAGCTCAAAATAACGCAAATTTCTTACGCAGATTGTGAATTTATAAGTGCATTTCAGACTTTGCCGATGCGCTCATCGTGATTTTTGAGGCATTATCTATAGGAAACAACTCCTCATTCTGCTCTAGCAAAAGTTTGCAATAGGCCCATTGAAAGGTAAATATAACAAAATCACAAAATTTTTGATTTTGACATTATACAGGGTGTTTTTTTCATAGAAACCGGTTTTTGTGTACTGAAAAAAAAGCTTTTAACCCATATATCTTTTAAAATCGCATTATTAAGGTCACTTTAAATACTCACCAATTATAAGAGCGTCTTTTAAGCTTTCCAACGATATTACATGATGGGTCTATGATTTAAGATTTCCGCGCCACTGCGATCCGCGCGGCGGCGGCACAGCGCGGGCCTGCATAAATTAGTCCACAGGCATATGTTGAAAAGAAGCCTACCGTGGAATATTAAATAGAGTAGGTGTGGAAAATGGCCTAATCTCTTCTTTTCGATGTGTTGAAAAATAATTTTGATGTTGTCAAGCTCCATTTTGCATCCAACCCCTCCAATTCAACATGGCGGCCAAAATGGGGGCTCGGGGGTTGAAGATGTTGGAATTTGTTTTTGATGTCGTGTATGGGGTCCATCACTATGTAAATTTGGTCGTAGAATTCGAATTTGAGGTCCAAAATTGTCTCCGGCTCAAAGGGATTACCCAAAATCCAATATGGCCGCCTAAATTTCCACGATAGGGTCAAATCTCCGAGAGTTGCTTAAAAATGCCGAGTAGGGTATCTTTCATAGGGTTTTCTGGGTCGTAGATTTCACTGATGAGGTCAGAATTTTACTGAAGGTTTATTGAAGCCCAAAAATTTCAATGTAGCGGCCAAATGGCTGCCGTTGCGGGGTGAAGTATTTTGATGAGGCTCGTATCGTCGAGTGAGGTGTCCCAGCATGGGTTTTTTGGGTCGTAAATTCCACAAATGAGGTCCAAATACCCAAACAGGCCCAAAAAAGTTCTCTAAGAACCAAAGTGGTGGCCAACATGGCTGCCGCTCAGACAGAGAGAACGGTAGAGAAGTTACCTTTCATACAATGATGAATTTTCGTATATGTTTTGTACTCTGCTGATTCCGGATGTAGTCCCCTAGTACATCGGAGTGGTAGCTGTAGTGGTCTGTAGTACATCTAGGACATGCTCAAGAGCGTATTTCCTGATTTTTCCCACGAAGATATTTTTCTCGACGAAAGGACAAAATACACTATTCTGAATACAATTCTTATTCGTTCGTTTTCCATCTGAAAAGTAGGGTGAATATTTTGTATACGTCCGGTAGGACAAATTATGTGTACTTTTGATTGATTAGAATATCTGAGTCTACCAAGAAAGGAGGGGTTGCGATTTGGGCCGAAATCGGCCCCTCCGCGGAATTGGATGATTTTTATATATTTGGCAGTTGACGGTGCATATATGATGGAAATAATCGAGTTTAGCCGATACTCACGATTTTTGGCTGGCTGCGAAACAGGGGCCTAAACATGGCTCCGTGGCCGAAAATAGCTGAAATTTCGCGTTTTTCGCGGTTCTACCTCAGATTTTGTCCCGGGCCCATAGGCGACGGGTGATGAGCTTCGAATATGGTGTCTGGGACATGTAGATACGTAACATACTTGAATATGATCAACCGTCGCCTTTGGGCCCAACCTCAAAATCGAACTTCTCCACTCTTTACCCCGAAATAGCTGGAAATCCATGTACGAGGGGCGTTCAATAAGTAAGTATCCCCCCTCTCTAAAATCCATTAAAATGGACCAATTTTAAAAAACTTGGGCTCAAAATCTTCCTTAGGATATTTTGAGTCCAACAAAACAAACCGCAACAAAATCGGACCATGTGCGGCCGAACGCGAGCCGTTTGAACGCGCCGAGGTGCTCGACGCTCCCGCCGAATCCGCGGGGATTTGAAGTCCGCGACAGGAGAAGAGCTTCTCTGCCAAAGCCTCAGTCGTTCATCACTGACGAAAAATCAAAAAAGTTCTTGTAGAATAAGGGGCTTACCTCACTTCTCCACATAACCAGCTCGATCCAAGCAGGTCTGATACTGAGACTAAGAGAACAGCATTTGGATGCCACGCGCGGGGAAGTCTTTCAGCTGACCGGGGATGAAAGAGTGGACGGCTTGTTTCACCTCTTCCACTGATTCAAAATTAACTCCTCATGCAGAGTTCAGATTTCAGAAACGGGAATAAATGGTCGTCTGGTTTGCCATTTACTATCGTATCTGAAATCTGAACTCTGCATGGGGAGTTAATTTTGAATCAGTGGAAGAGGTGAAACAAGCCATCCACTCTTTCATCCCCGGTCAGCTGAAAGACTTCCACGCGCGTGGCATCCAAAAGCTGTTCTCTTAGTCTCAGTATCAGACCTGCTTGGATCGAGCTGGTTATGTGGAGAAGTGAGGTAAGCCCCTTATTCTACAAGAACTTTTTTGATTTTTCGTCAGTGATGAACGACTGAGGCTTTGGCAGAGAAGCTCTTCTCCTGTCGCGAACTTTAAATCCCCGCGGATTCGGCGGGAGCGTCGAGCACCTCGGCGCGTTCAAACGGCTCGCGTTCGGCCGCACATGGTCCGATTTTGTTGCGGTTTGTTTTGTTGGACTCAAAATACCCTAAGGAAGATTTTGAGCCCAAGTTTTTTTAAAATTGGTCCATTTTAATGGATTTTAGAGAGGGGGGGATACTTACTTATTGAACGCCCCTCGTATTCCGCGGTTCTACCTCAAATTTAGTCCTGGGCCCAAAGGCGACGGTTGATGAGCTTCGAATATGGTGTCTGGGACATGTAGATACGTAACATACTTGAATATGATCAACTGTCGCCTTTGGGCCCAACCTCAAAATCGAACTTTTCCAACTTTTTAGCCCGAAATAGCTGAAAATGCATGTTTTCCGCGGTTCTACCTCATATTTCGACCTTGGCCCAAAGGCGACAGGTAATGAGCTTCGAATATGGTGTCTGGGACGCGTAGATACGTAACATACTTGAATATGATCAACTGTCGCCTTTGGGCCCAACTTCAAAATCGAACTTTTCCGACTTTTTACTTCGAAATAGTTGAAAAGAACTGTTTGTGCAACGTTCTATTCAGGTTCTGGACCGAACCCAGAACTTGCTTTCATATACAGAGAATGGATTCATATCTTCTTGCTATATTGTCCGTCACAAGTCACTTGAATGACTGTGAAAACTGAGTTTTTTACTATTGCACGTATAGGTTTACTTGTCAGCTCCAGATTCCTTGATCGCTTGCTTGAGCTCTCCAGTGCTTGATAATGTTACCTTTATGAAAAGCTCACTGTAATTAAACAGCATACAGGTTTGTATTTGATGACTATCTCAGGTGAGAGATATCTGATTATGGGAACTTCACGATAGGTTCTTTTTGAGTGAATGCAGTTTTCACCAAATGTAACTCCACAGTGCTTATCATGGCCTCAGGAAGTCAGAGAAGTTTGCTTTGTTGGAAAGTTGGAAAAGTTCGATTTTGAAGTTGGGCCCAAAGGCGACGGTTGATCATATTCAAGTATGATACGTGTCTGGGTGTCCCAAACACCATATTCGAAGCTCATCAACCGTCGCCTTTGGGCCCAGGTCGAAATTTGAGGTAGAACCGCGGAATACATGGATTTTCAGCTATTTCGGGGTAAAGAGTTGGAAAAGTTCGATTTTGAGGTTGGGCCCAAAGGCGACGGTTGATCATATTCAAGTATGTTACGTATCTACATGTCCCAGACACCATATTCGAAGCTCATCACCCGTCGCCTTTGGGCCCAGGTCGAAATCTGAGGTAGAACCGCGAAAAACGCGAAATTTCAGCTATTTTCGGCCACGGAGCCATGTTTAGGCCCCTGTTTCGCAGCCAAAAAACGTGAGTATCGGCTAAACTCGATTATTTCCATCATATATGCACCGTCAACTGCCAAGTATCGAAAAATCATCCAATTCCGCGGAGGGGCCGATTTTGGCCCAAATCGCAACCCCTCCTTTACTTCAACACTGTTCTTGACAAGCACCTTACGCATTCATGGTGCTGTTAAATCTATATGATCGAAATTTATTACAATTATTTTGTGAGGATGAAAAAATTAAATTCAGCCTCAGTGTTAGGCACGAACAAATTACTGAACACAAGGAAAATTAATTCTAGTTTACGATTTGTAGCAATTTCGTATGCAGATAGAGTTCGTTTTTTTG